CGTTGTCCTGGTTGGTCGTGTTGTGTCATGCCATGACGTGGCAGGCTGTGGTGTGCCATGGTGGGTCATGCTCTGCCATGCCGTGACATGGTGGGTCGTGTTGTGTCATGCCATGACGTGGCAGGCTGTGGTGTGCCATGGTGGGTCATGCTCTGCCATGCTGTGACATGGTGGGTCGTGTTGTGTCATGCCATGGCGTGGCAGGCTGTGGTGTGCCATGACGTGGCAGGCTGTGGTGTGCCATGGTGGGTCATGCTCTGCCATGCCATGACATGGTGGGTCATGTTGTGTCATGTCATGACGTGGCAGGCCATGTTATGTCATGCCAGGCTGTTCTATGCCAAGCGCTATCTTCTCTGCAGGCACATGACACAGGGCACGGACGTGTCGGGGCTCTTCACGGAGATGGTAAAGGCCAGCGCGGTGGCTGATGTGGTGCAGAAGAAGCTGGTGTACCTGTACATGTGCACCTATGCACCGCGGCAGCCCCACCTCACCCTGCTCGCCATCAACACGCTCTGCAAGGACTGCTCCGACCCCAACCCCATGGTCCGGGGGCTTGCCCTCCGCAGCATGTGCAGTCTCAGGTGGGGCTTAGCCAGTGGGCCCTGCAGGGAGCCTGCCTGGCCATGTGGGGAGCCCACCGGGCACCAAGGGAGCCCACCAGACATCTGGAGAGCCTGTCAGGCACCAGGGGAGTCCACCAGTCACCTAGGAAGCCTGCCCAGCCCTGCGGGGAGCCCTTTGAGCACTGGGGAGACCACCAGGCACCTGCGGAGCCTGCCCGGTCCTGCGGGTAGCCCGCTGGGCACTGAGGGAGCCAGCGTGAGCTGCTGCCTCCCACTCCACACTAGCAGCGCTCCCTGTGCAAAGGTGTCTCTGCCTCTGTGCAGGTGGGAGGGGGGATAGTCCCCTGTAAGATCAGAGGAGTATCACTTGTATTTAAGTAATCTTTGTGTGTCGGGGTTGGCACCTCAGAATGCCTGAGGGATTCTAGTTGATGCCTGTGTGGCTCATGTGCTTGTTTGTAGGATGCCTGGTATACAGGAATACATCCAGCAGCCTATCCTAAATGGCTTGCGAGACAAAGCCTCCTATGTGAGGAGAGTAGCTGTTCTTGGCTGTGCAAAGATGCAGAAACTCCAAGGGGACTCTGAAGTGGGTAAGTTGGCTTTGCACTAGAGCACTCAGGCTTGTATTTTGTCACAGGGTGCACACTGGGAAGAAGATGATAACACTTGAGAGTTAAGTATTTCTCGCTCATGAAAACGTGTTAAGATTTGCAGTCTATCCTGGATTCACTGAGCTGTCTCTTGGTTGTTGCGGGTGCGAAACAGGGAAAGAGAGAAAGAGAAGTAGGCTGCTGATGTATGTCAAATCATTAGTGAGATGTTAGGCACTGCGAGTTTCCACATTAGTGTCCCTTTCATATGTGCTTTTATGCTGCCCCCTGAAATACCTGACTCTTTCCTCTAGTGTCTGATTAACTGGGTACCATTCTAGAGTCTACAGATTTTTAGTGAAAAGTTGTATGAAAGGCAGATGTTGTTATAAAGCTGGAAGTTTTGTTCTCCCTATTCAAGCCTTATCTTCCAGTTGCAGTATGTGCTTATGGACAATGATCAAATTGCAGCATGCCCGCTGAATAGGGGCCTCTGCTTCTTTGCAGATGGTACATTGGTGAATGAGTTATATAGTCTGCTTCGTGACCAGGACCCTATTGTAGTAGTGAATTGTCTGAGGGCTTTAGAAGAGATTTTGAAGAAGGAGGGAGGAGTTGTCATCAACAAACCCATCGCCCATCATCTCCTCAACAGGTTTGTTTTCTTCGATATTAGTTTGGTGCTGGAAGCTTAAATCTAATTCTTGCTTTGCATATACCAGCAGAGCAGGTGTTTTTGGGCTCCTATGACAGCTTGAAGAGAAGGGTGAGGCACCCAAGATGGAGATGCCCGTCCTAAGAGAAACTAAACTACTTTTATGCTAGGGCCTTAAGAGAAATCTGAGGTGTCCTACTTTCCTGGGGAGACTGTGGTTCAGCCGCTGGCTTGTTAGGAATTATGAGTTATATTAATGTGTTTATTTTATCTATTTTTTCCCCAACAGTGCGTGTGATATATTTATGGGATAACTATGTTCTAGTTTGTCTTTTCTAATCAATTGTAAGATTTATAACCTTTGCTTGAAGAAATTAATTTTTCTGTAGAAAAGACTACATGATATGGCAAAAGAGGCAAAATTATTTTCTATTGCTCTACCCAGGGATCATGTCAAGGTTTCTCTCTGGCTTAGAGCACAAAGGGAGGTGCACGTGATTGATACTGAGTTCCATCTATATGTGTAAATTGGTCAATTCTCTTGAGATAAAATTCTGGTATCTACATCTAAAACATAGCTTTGGGTTGGAACTGAGACAACGACAAACTCAAAGGCACTCTGCACAGCACAGATCTTCATGCCCTTCTTGACTCCTGCAAACTATTTGTGTTTATTTTCTTGGCAGAATGGCTGACCTAGATCAATGGGGACAGAGTGAGGTGCTTGCCTTCCTTCTGCGTTACAGGCCCCGCAGTGAGGAGGAACTTTTTGACATACTCAATTTATTAGATGGATATCTCAAAAGCAGCAGTCCCAGTGTTGTGATGGCAGCCACCAAGCTTTTCCTAGTGCTGGCCAAGGAGTACCCACATGTGCAGGCAGATGTTTTGGTGAGAGTGAAAGGACCGCTGCTGTCTGCCTGCACTTCTGAGAGCAGGGAACTCTGCTTCACGGCTCTGTGTCATGTGCGTCAGATCCTTGGTAGCCTTCCTGGCCATTTTAGCAGCCATTACAAGAAGTTCTTCTGCTCATATTCAGAGCCCCACTACATCAAATGCCAGAAGATGGAGGTGTTGTGTGAGCTGGTGAATGATGAAAATGTGCAACAAGTGCTGGAGGAGCTGAAGGGCTATTGCACTGATGTATCAGTAGAGCTCGCCCAAGGGGCGATCTTTGCCATAGGTAAGAGCTCTGCCTTGCTTCAGAAGCAGCTGCAACCTCCGGTCTTTAAGGTGTGCCTTCTTTTTCTGAAGTAAATCTGGGAAAATGTCAAGTAACTGCTCTGTGCTGAAGCTCTACAGCACCATGCAGGCAAGCCTATCCAGGAATGTTTTGTACGTGTGTTTGTAAGCTGGGATTGTGCTGATTCTTTCAGAAGTCCTGGTGTTGAACTGTCTCAGGTTGCACATAATGTCTGAATCTTTTTTGAACATCTGTGCTCTGATGAGCTACTCTAGAGGAATAAACCCATGGGGAGATGGAATTAGATCGTTCCTACTACATTGCTAATAGATTTTACAGTGTTGAGCCTTAAAGAGACTATGTATTCGATGGACAAACTGTTTTAATATCTGCTTGTTCTTTGAGTTGTGAAGGGGGCAGAGTTAAGGCTATTTGGGGCATTCTAGTTTTTTTATTTATAAGCTTTAAAATAGATAGGTTTTGTTAGTATCCGTAAGGAGAAAGCATTTTTCCCTGGCTTTCTCATATATGTTATGTTTAAGAAAAGCTTAGACTTCCCATGGAGTATGGCTGCAGAAAAAGGAACATGTCCCTTGTGTGGGGAGCTAGGTCATTTGACTGCTTTTTCCAGGGTAGAATGACTATCTCTTTAAAATGAGTTTGTGATGAACAGTTGGGCTCACAGTTTTTATTTCACTGTGATAAAAGGTTGCCTTTTATGTCCTTTGGTGTCTCTGCAGGCAATATTGCTAGGACATACACAGAACAGTGTGTGGGGATTCTACTTCAGGTAATCATCTACAGGTTGTTCACCTGATTTGTGCGTTCAGGAAATGGCCTTGTTGGGGTTTGTGGTCCCAGAGCTTGAGGCTCTAAAAGGCACTTGGCTTTTAATTTGACTAGCATCTTCAGATGAAAGTTTCCCTAGTTGAGTGGTGGTATATAGTGTGACTGGCATCATAATTTTTCCTTCTGTAGGGGTCGTCTTTGTAGTTAAGGGGGCGATTGTCCTGGCTGCATTCATGGTCTCATACGGAAGCTCCTTTCTGGTTGCCGTCTGTTGGGTCAGGAAGTGAGGGACTAAGCAGAGACATTCTAGTGACTGTTCATGTGAATATCTTGATTGATGTGAATGCTCTTGCTCTGAGCTTTCAAAGTCACCTACTTACAAGCCAAATGTTGCATTAGATCTTAACAGCTGTTAGTGTTTCTGTAAGTGGACAGCAGTCTGTAAAATTTTGACCTAAAGTTGATGAGACTCATTTTGAATTGCTGTTACTTCTAATTTGTCATTCTAATGGTGAGTGCCTGAGACATCAGGAGTCAGTATCAGACTGGCAGAGGCAGAGGACTGTCCAGAAGAAAGGTTACTTCCCAGCAGCCAGAAGAATGATCAGAAGTTTCAGTGTTTATTTTAGGCTTTGTGCAACTTTGCTCTGATGAACCTGGTGTCACAGGGCTTTGAAGAAGGGTGTCTCAAATCATAATCGTTAGCAATGCAGCGACTTTCCTAGCTAAGAGTTTGCAAAATCTTTTTTTTTTTTTTTTTTTTTCCGCTTAGTGGTTTTAAGAGCTCTTGAGGAATGCTGAGCATTCTGTTTCTTTGCAGCGGTAGTACAGACTTTTCGGGACCTGGTTTGGCTATGTCCCCAGTGTACAGATGCAGTGTGTCAGGCACTGCCTGGCTGTGAGGAGACCATCCAGGACAGCGAGGTAAGGTGGCTTTACGCCCTTAAGGTAATAGCTATGAGGATGGGTGGAATGTGACTGGCTTTCCTTTGACTCATAATTGGCATGAGGAAGAAATCCTCAGAATACTTATTCTCTTGTGTCAGTTTATTTCATGTTAACATCTTTTTTCCGATAAACAGAGCCAATTTACTGTTTATTCTTTGATTCCTTCAGGGCAAGCAAGCATTGATCTGGCTCTTGGGGGCACATGGTGAAAAAGTACAAAACGCCCCCTATGTTTTAGAGGACTTTGTGGAGAATGTGAAATCAGAGATGTTTCCAGCAGTGAAGATGGAGCTTCTGACAGCATTGGTGCGACTGTTCCTGTCTCGTCCTGCTGAGTGTCAGGACATGCTAGGGCGACTACTCTATTATTGCATAGGTGGGTTCACTGTGCTGAGTGTTCTGTTTCGCGGCGGTGATAGTACAGGCTTTTTGGGACCTGGTTTGTCTATGTGCCCCATGCATTGATGCCATGTGTCAGGCACTGCCTATCTGAGAGGAGACCATTCTGGTAAGGTGGTTTTATGCCTTAGGTAAGGTGGTTTTATGCCTTAGCTGGGGACCAAGTTGCAGCCTGTCTGCTTGGTGAGTGTAACAGGCTTAAATTGAATCCCTAGGCATCTATCTATTTTTTAATAATTAAAGGTTATTGCTTAAGGGGAATCTGGATGATGGAATTCTGCAAAAATTATGTTCCTCTAATTTCCAGAGGAGGAGATGGATATGGCAGTACGTGACCGTGGATTGTTCTACTATCGCCTCTTACAGTCTGGTGTGGAAGAAGTGAAACGGATCCTATGTAGCCCCAAGTCTGACCCCTCTCTGGGGGTCCTGGGAGACCCAGCTGAACGACCTGTGAATACGTGGGCTTCAGAGTTTAATACCCTTGCATCCGTTTATGGCAGAGCATGCTGGGCCCTTGTCACTGCTCACCAGCCAGTGGAACCCTGTTATGCTTGTTCTCCTTGTACTGACCCCAGGGACGGAAGGACAGGTAAGCAGCCTTGTCCTCATCTGGGATCCACTCTCCCCTTGTTAGCAGACATTCTCACATGAGTTTCTTTGGAGAAAGGTCACAGTGCTTTAGTGTTTTGTCTTGTGCAATGCCTGGCTGATCGCCATCTCATCAGGGAGATGCTACTGAAGGTGCCGTGATTCTAGACTTCTGATGGGGCCATCAGATAGATGTTCTTTGTGAAACTGGGAGCAGCATCAGATATGCTGTATCTCACGTTTCTGATTTCATTTCAGAGTCACTGATTTCTGAAGAGAATAAAGAAGTCCTCCAGGTTCATCCTGCTACAGGCAGCCTGACCTTAATTCCTGATGTGAATCTGACTGCGGAACAATTTGAGAAGACCTGGCTGAATCTGGACGTTAGCTGCCAGCACTCTCTGCCCTGGCGTGGAAAGGCTCACTTGGATACCATACAGGCTGCTCTTCATGTTGTCCACATCCAGACTATTGCTATGAGCAAAGCTGGTGTCCAGCCATGGAAAGCTTATCTCAGTGCTCAGGATGACACTGGTTGCCTCTTCCTAACAGAGCTATTGCTTGAGACAGAGGATTCAGAGATGCAGGTTTCAGTGAAGCAGAGCGAGGCAAAGCCTGAGGCACTGAAAACCTTTATTTCCCTTTTAAGGACTGTAATGGGGACAGTTGTTGGTCTGAGATCCTGATTAATCTCTGCTCCCAGGAGGATGCTTACTCAGGGCACAGGAAAGGTTTCTTTCTGTGGCTTCATTTGCCATAAACTACTGCTGATTTTGTACTTTTAAAGTGTAAGAGCCTTATCAGCCCTCCTTCCCTAGCCAGTAGGGACAGAGTTATACCTAGAAATCATGTATGTGAGAGTCGCTAGAGCTGGTGTAGGTACTGCATTGTGGTAACTGGTGAGCGAGGCAAGTTAAATGATCTTCCTCTGGGCTGGTGAAAGGACAAGATAATGCATTTGTTAGCCTGCTGCTTCTACCATGAGTCATGGATTTTAACAGTTGAGAGTGAAAGGAGCTCTGCTTTGCCAGAATGTGGATGGATAGGATACATCATGTTTATTAGAACCGGTGTGTTTCTTTTTCAAGAGGAAGTGTATTTTCCAGTTGAAAGGTATTGCTGCAAGGATAAATCACCCTGTCTGAAAAGTCCCACCTCAGCCTTTCTGTGGCAAAGGCTACTGTAGGAAAATGCAGGAATGAGCAAGTTATATTTAATGTTATGTTTCTGTGAGTTAGTGTGGCTTGAGTTTTGTAACCTGTGTCCCTTTGACCATATCAGTATGGTGTGAGTCCTCGGTACTTGCACCAGTAATTGAAGAATTGCTGTTTGGATAATTAATTTGTATGGTATACTAACTTTTTACTTAAACCAAATTTTACCATTTGTTACTTTGTGACCGGAAAGGATATGTAAAGGTTTTGTTGCCTGTGCAGTACTTACTTCTGTGCAGTACTCTCCTTCTGTCCTTGTGATACAGTATATGAGATTGGTCCAGTACTATATGACTTAATTTTTCCAGCTGTTGTTGCTGTCACTTGCAGGATTGTTTGTATCTCACTATTATTTTGTCCTATGTTTGTTACTTGTTCCCGTCAGTTCCATGTTGGGCGGCTGTCACTTCTGAGTACTGATCGGTTGTATTGGACACTCTTGTATGGACTTGCTGGCCGTTTCATTTCTGTATTTCTCATTTTTATTTCTATTTGTTTTTCTTTTCTGAATTTTTCCTTGTTTGTTCTTGGTGCCTAAATCTCTCCTCCACAGTTTCTTGATGGATGAGGCTTTTTCTGTATTCTTTATATATACATTTCATATAATTTAAGCAAAGCAAAATAAACTATCTCTCGCTATCTCAGGGCCTCACTTCCTCTTTCCCAGAATCTTTCCTCGTTTTATTTGGTTTGTTTCTGTTTGGCAAGCTTCTGGGGGTGTTCTTTGTGAATAAAGTATCATTGTAGCTGGACCGTTTTAATTAGCAAATGTAATTGTGCCAAGAATGTTACTGCCAATGCTTGCATGTTTCCTTTATTCAAATAAAAGAATAATTGGAAAATGCTATCCGGGAGGGAGGGACAGGACATTTTTCACATATGGGTTCCTTAATCTATTCAGGTGCCTGGATTCCTCATACAGGGAAGAATTAAAAATTATATTCTTGCGAACCTCGGGACTTGTATCACAAGGACAGCACTCTATCTGTTCCATTGAAAGTTATGGAGAATTGGACTTTGCAATGTCATGAAAACTTCCTTGCTACAGCCATGAAAATCCTCTCTGATGGTGAAACTGTTGGTCTTGCCACTTCAGTAGCTTTTGGTCAGGGCCTAGAGAGAAACAGGGAATGCTGCTCCTAATCCAGTCTGCAGATAAGAAGTCCATTAACTGTTTACACAATGGCAAAAACCTAAAGAGTGGCCCCTGGTTTAAGATTAAAGTACATTGGTTACTGTAACGGCTTTATGGTACAGAGTAAGGAGCAGGTTTCATTAACCCCATTCTGTAAAATTTCTGATTTTTTTTGCATGTTTTAATGACTGTATTGCATCTTTAAACTACTGTATGCTTTCCAGGCACTTCACTGGAATACTACAGTTAAAACAAATTTTAGATTTTATTTCTGGTTTTCCTTATAAAAATGTGAATCATTCCCAGCTGCTTTGTGGAGGATTTTTTCATTAACTGTTGACTCTGATGTCTGCCAGGATGGAATCTGATTTCTATTGTGGATCCTAAGAATTGCAGTCCAGCTCCTTCCTTTTTTTTGCACAGGGTTTCTCTCTCAACTCCTCCTGAAGCATAGTTTTGAAGGGCAATTGTGCAATAATTTATTTCGATCTCATATGTTAAATTACAATGACAGGCATGCTAACTACAGGTGAATTCAAATGTATTCAACTGTAGCAGGGTTCCTATGAACAGTTTCTAGTGCCCTTAGGCATGTGTTGGATTCCTGAGCTTATGGAGAGGTGAATTGGAACATTTGTGTCATGCAGTTTTCAGCAAAAAAAATATTCATTAGCTTGTCAGCTATTCCTCATTTACTCAGTTGTAGCTAGACTGATTCTAACCATTGTCTAGGATGGGGCTCTCATTTTTTAGCCTTTATCCAGGATACTTTTCTTGGTGAATGATCACGCCGGCAGTTTTTGACTTCTAAACCTTTATTTCAGTTGAGCTGTACAGTAGTGGTTTGTTATGAAACTAAACCACGCCCATTGCTTGATGATGACAGTAAGTGAGTGTATATCTGGACACTGTGCTGTCTTAGGGAGGAGTCTTACTGATATATCCTTCCCAGAAGGAAGAACCTCTGCAGGTCAGGTGGGAAAAGGAAACTAAAATTCTGAGGTGTCGCTCACCTGGAAAGAAAAGCAGCTGTAGGGGTATTCCTGACCCCCTTTGAACATCAGCTAGTTTGAGAGACGTACTGCGATGCACACTTTTGAGAAACAAACAGAATCCATTGTAAAAGCCTTATTCTCTGATCTCTTGAATGAAGAGGAAAGTGTTTACCGATGTCTGGAGAAAGATTCGGGAGGTGAGGCCTGTAGTTTGGTAGGAAACGAGAGAAAAGTTTTTTTGTGTTGGCTGAAGATTATAGAGAAGTGTTCTGACTGAAAATTTAAAGGAAGGAGGGTTCTAACTTGGGGTTGTTTGGTTTCTTAAAGTGCAGACTTGTGATGACTTATGAGTAATCTCTGTTTTGGGGGAAAAGAGAGCAACTTAAGGTTGTTTGAATCCTGGAAAGACCACAGCTGCAGTCTGCTTTGGTGGGAGAGGAGTTGAGGAAACAGGGACGGTATGGAGGATAGCATATTGTGTTCTCCGCATCTTGTGATTGTGAGTGTGTCTGTTGTTACCCAACAAGGCTAATAGAGAGGGTACTTACTCCTGGTGCTGTACATCGCGTATGTCTACACGTACTGAGTAACGTGTTCTGAACTAAAGTCCTAATGTTGTGCCTCTGAGAGCTGGGGTGCTGGAAGGCTGCCTTCTCATGGTGGAAAATTGGGCTAGAGATAGGCAAACACAAGTCTGTCTGTTAGGGGTTTTGAAAAGCAGGGAAGTAGATTGTCTTAAAAGGGATGGTGGAATTTTTAACTAGTTCTGATTCTATTACCAAAAAGAAAGCTGATATGTTCATATTTATTGGATAAGAATAGTTGCTTTAAAATGTAGGACAGGCTATGGTCTCTGCTTCACAAAATTCCCGATATGATTTGGGCCACTCTCTGTTTTGCTGAGTAATACTGCAAGAAATTCAGAATTTCTCCAGTATTCATGCTGCTTTTCCCATTACTTTCTTGGCAACGCAGTTGAAGAGCAAACGAGCTAAAATGCCTCAAAGAGGCACTGGGAGCTTGCTGATACTGAGCGCTGAGCAAAGTTCATTTCTCAAAAGCTTTATAGAAGCATGTTTGTAGTTTTGCCTAAAGAGAAGTCTCCAGTCCGCCTATTGCTTCCTTCAGTCTTATGGATTAGATGTGCATGCATCTGCTTTCACTGTCTTGACCACTGCGAAAACTGCCTGTTTGGTGTGAAAGCTCCACTGTGTGGGGTGCCTGCAGCTCAAGTGAATCTTTCCAGAATCTCTGGTGTTGCGTGAGGCTTAGCAGAGTTCTGCAAAGGGCTGTGCGTGCTGAAGTACTGGCATGTCAACCAGATATGCAAAGGTGGAATTTGTGGGTAGATGAGTGAAGGAGGGGATTGGATCAGGAGGTGATGTCTAAAGATAAAGTTGCCCACTGCTCTTTGTTAAAAGATCCTGTTTTCAGTTCCTTGTAATGTTGTCAAACTTGGAAATACTGTTGCTGAAATTTTCAATGCAAGGTTATCCCTTCTGGCTGAATCTTGTCTTGGTAATACTCAGAAAAATTAAACATTACTGTTTTTTTCTCAGAACACTTTAAGGGAATATGCTTTCTTCATCTGAGGCAAAAACCAAACAAGCAAAAACCCCTTTAAGTAGTTTAGCTGTTAAGTTCTAATTATTATATACTTCAAATTTGTGAAGGATGCCTTTTATTCCTCTGTGAAAACCTTCCCAAATTTGGATCACTGTATGAGACTTTGAAACATTGCAATTTATGCTTGTTCAGTGGAGACCTTCAGTTTGACATCTAAATTCTCTGAAGATTGTCAGCACTCAATGATCTGCAACATAGAAATGCTGGGGGAATATAAGCAGGACTTTGCCAGCTGATTGATGCTGTTTTGTCACTGGAACCAAAAGAGAGAGAGACGAGATGTCTTCTAAGTCCTTGTACTTCCCTTCCTTGCTTTTGGAAGCATGGAAGGAAAAAGCTGCCTGAAACATGGAGGGATAAAAAGAGAATCCTTAGGGATGTCCTGGGAGAAACATGAGTGGGTATGAACAGAAATTTGGGCATGAAGCAACTGAGATGAGGGGAAGAGACCTGGACAAAGCCTTGCCATGGTACTGACTTGCCTTACTTTGAGCTCTCTAAATGTATAACTGTATAATATTTCCTAAGAACTTTGATTTTACATATCTTAATGTGCTTTCTGAATGTAGTGCAGTTAAAAAAGCTTGGCCGCAAGCTTGCGTTCTCTCTTTTCCTCCGCCTTTTAATGCGTTATGCCGTAATCCCTTATCCTGTTACCGCTGTTCATTGTTTTAGAATCTGAGCAGTCTGCAGGAGAAGCTCCAAGTAATTTTGACCCAGTTGTTATTGCCAGTCGTCTGCGAAGCATGGGGGACCAGTGCAACATGGATTTTGAAAATACCTCGCAGGTTGTTGCTGAAGTACTCAAGGGAAAGGTAAAGCATATCTTTTTCTGCCTAGCCCTGGACCTGCTCTTTGTAGACCAACCTTGTGGTCTCATCGTGTTGGAGAATAGCAAAAGCCTGAGGAAGAGCACAACTTATGCTGTAGGAGTCAGAGAGGGAAAGGGACGTGATAGCCAGAAGCCTGCCTCCTTTTCTTTCCGTGTAAGTTCATGAGCATTCTATGAGGCATGAGCCACCAGAACAGAATCTAAACACAGCCCTGCTTAGACCCTTACTCAAGTAGGTGATTCCTTGTAACTTTTCTCTTTGTCCCCTTCCAAAGGAGCTGCTTTTTATCATCTGAGAAGTACTGGAACTTCCTGAGCTGGTCTGTCATTGCAGAAGATAATGTGTAGTTTGGAGTTGGGGGGAACTTGTGTGTGCAAGAGGAATGAAGACTGTCCTGAGGGGAGCAGACCAGATGCTCCAGTCTGCTCCAGGTGATCTGGCTTGAGCCAGTCAGAGCTCTCATGCCAGTGCGGTTTTGGTGCTAGGGCTGCAAGTAGTTCTACGTTAAGGTTCTTTGCAGCTCTGATTCTGATAGTCTGATCAGAACAGTCTAATCTGTTCTTCTTGGTCCCTCAATCGTGCTTGCCTGTTGCTGTAGTTTGTACAAGCCACAGTAACAAAGACAGCAGTACAGGACACCCTTGCCTTGAATGTTCTACACTGTAGGGATATCACCAGGAACCTTCAGGGGGTCACCTGCTTTAGTCATGGGGAGAACAAGAAAACCCAGGAATCTGTAGGATTTTGAGCCAAGACTTACGTACCATGTGGTCATTTAAAAAGGAAAAGCTCAAACCGTCCTTTTGGTGTTTGCAGATAGAGAAGTTTGGAGCTGCAGTGGATTCTCTCAGCAGGAGCTGGAGTAATCAGAATCCTGAGCTTTGCTATGAGAGAGCTTTTCTCACTGTTTCTGTGAAATTGGCCATGTGTGTTGCGAAGAAAGTCCCAGCTATGGTCCGTCACATTCAACTCGTAGAACTGATTAATGGAAATTCCCGAGTGAGAAGCTACATTGAGGCCTGTGGAGGATGGGTGAGCATGCAGAGTTTGCTGTGATGCTTGCCTTGGGATTTATGGCTCGGTTTCTTTGCTTCTCTTAACCTTCCAAAGTGCCATTCAGCCTTGTGTCTTGCTTGGCTAGCCACTGATACCCGACTGCACAGAGCGTCCTCCTCCCTCCCGCTCAAATAACTCCGCTTCTAGTTGCGGAAACACAGCTTTGCTAAATGCATCGATCTTAATGTCTTAATAAGTCTTTATGAAGTCAACATCAAACTTCCCATCTCCTACATGGTGCCAGGATTTAATTCCTTATCTCAGTATCTAGGGAGTTAAGCTTGCTACGTTAGATAGAATCAAAATAATTAAGGATTAATCATACAAAAAGCACTTTCCTGCTCACATAGCTTTACAGCTGTGCCACTGTAAATTTACAACTGTACCACTTAGTACATTTTATGAGTGGAAAGTTGATATAAGTCTGGAAAGAGGTTATAGAGGAATGTAGAAAGCCTTTCTCTCCATCCTGCATCTTTTTCTTCTTCCCAGTTCCTTTAAACCTACCTGGAATTCTTTCTGTAAAATACATACTTATGCTTTTTTTGTTCTTTTTTCAGGAGAACTTGGACAACTGAAAGGGAAAGGGCTATGCTGCTTTCCAAAAGGTGAAGCTAGGTTTTTCACTGATTTAACTGGGACAATTGCTTTTATATTTTTTCAGGAGATCACAAGCACAACTGTACAAAAAAGCAATGTGTGAAGGAGATTCTTTCTGTGTCACTACAAACCAAAAATAAAAAATCAGTTTGTTTCAATTTGTTTTACTTCTTGCATTTCTCTTAAATTCGGCCATGGAAGTGGGTTCTTAAATCTTATTCAAGGTTTCTAGGCTAAAGGCTTAGTGCTGCAGTGATAATATTCAGATTCATCAGGTGACTATTTGTTTTAAGGCATATTTTTGCTGGACGTTCTGAACATGTCTCTGTTCCTCTGAGGTGGTTCAAAGGCTAGTTTTTACAAAATTGAAATTTGTGCTTAATTTAAACTAACAGTGATGTCAGTCTCAGTAATTAGTAGTTCAAGGCCCAAAAACCTTGTCGAAAGGCAAGCTATTCTGTACCGGATTTGTGAGAAACCACAGACAGGGAAATACATCCAGTAACTCTGTTTCTCTTCTCGATTGTAAATATACTTGGGACAGCTGAAGTTTTTGTTTGTGCACACTATGAGACATTGGAAAGATTAAGCTAGTCATTCCCGTACTTTTTTTTTTTTTTTTTTTTTGCAGGTTTTTGTTTTTGCACTCTTGCAAGTAGGAAGAACGGATGGCGTTAGGGGACTTTGCTCTCTGCATCTGCTTCCCATTTCCAAATCATCTCCACTTTGTCCTGTGGGCTTTTTTTGAGTGCCTGTTAGTGTTACTGAGAGTACGGGTGAGGTGAATTAGGTTGGCATAATTCATTTATTTTTTTAAAAGTCTTTGGAGTCAAAGGAGTTTGACCCTGTCTTCTATCACAGACTACTAGAAGAGGGAAATTATGTCTAGAAGAGTATGCTAATAGGTATTACTTCTTTGTTCAGAAACTGTTGTGCCATTCAGAAAAATAAAATGTGCAGGCTGGATTCATGTGCTCAATATCTGTTGAAAGAGTTCTTTAAGAATATGTTAATGTGGAAAACAGACAGAGTTATAAATGTGAAGGGGAACTGTGGATTTTGCATATTATTTTAGGGACTCTTCTAGTCACAAGATATTCTGAGTTTGAAACCTTCCCTTCTGACTATTTCACAGTGAAGTGCAACCTCCTGTGACCCAGTGAATTTGGTGTTTTCAGATGTTCTACTGACAGCAGCTGCCAGATGTATTCATCCTTCTTCACTGTGGCAAAGGCAGTGCCTATTGCTGATGGTGGCTGGAAATAGTACTCAAAAACCGGGGACACAGTTTCTTGTTTTGTTTGGTCATGCTTTCCAGGAGAATCTTCCACAGTCTCATAATTTAGACGTTTCTGCTGATATAAGCCTATATTTTCTGTTGCTGAAGTAACATGACATTTTTGTCCAGCTAGTGCCTTTCAGACTGGTATTGCCATCACTGAAGGACCCTTGCTGTAGCTGTGATCGTGCGCACAGAACTCGGTACTCCCATGTCTCTGGTCTAGCTCCTTCTACTCTTTTAAAAGGGTACTCTTGCTCTTACCCTATTGCCTGTTTCAGTATCTTTTTTCTCAACAGGTGGAGAGGTATCTGATCTAATCAATAGGTATCTAATTTGATTGTCCATCCTTCCTGTGCAAGAGACATGAAACTCTGAACTGTCATAGGGCATGTTTTTCATTAAGCTTGCCAGAGTTAAGTCATGGGGACACTGAAAGTGGTTTTCAGTCTAGATTGATGCATGTGGCTTCCCAGTTCCTTATCTCTCTGCTCTGTGTACCTGCCACTTACCATCCGAGTCCAGGTGAAAAGAGGGGAACGTAGTTAGCATGTCCCAGCAGTGTCGGGTGCCAGGTAACAAGTGGGCAGTGGTTTACTGCTGGCTGCATATGCAAAAGAAGGAAAGAATTCATTTGATGCTAGTTTTTTTAATTCAGTTTTAGACAGCTTTACAAAACCTGATGTTTTGCTGACACAGCTGTAAAATGGCTTTATTTAAAGCTTTTGTAAAAATGAGCAGACAGTCCTAGATTAGTATGCTGTAGTTGAGACAATTCTTGTAGTAGGCTACAGCTTGGGCCTAAGGAGAAATGTCTGCATTTGAGCTAACGGGGGATGAGTGAGGGAACATGGGAACTCGAGCACGCTATGACTTGGACAAGTCTCTCAGCAAGGAGATCTCGTATTGTTGAATGCTTGTGAGCAGTCCTGGAAGTCAGATTTTGAGGAAACTGCCTCTGGTCCCCAATTTCTGATCGTGGTTGTGCAATATATGGGAAGCAATTGGACACACAGGAGACATATCCCAGTCAAGAGACACCTGGGGCAGCACTCTCCTACTGCCAAGAGAAGCTGAGGAGCAGGAGCTGCTGGCTAAGTGCTTGCTTCAAGTTAGACTGCTTTGTTAGCTGGACAATTGCTTGCCTCGATAATGGTATAAATATCCCTGTCCTAGGGTAGAGGTTCATGGAAACATGAGTGAAGTAGTTTGCCCACTTGTAGTAACATGTCTCTGACAGCTATGCGGCTTCTTCAGGCCAATGTAAATCTCTGCTCCTTAGGTGGCTTTCCAGAATTCACTGAGGCTGTCTGAAAAGTTGTGCTGGTTGAATGTTTCATGGTTTAGCAGGGAAGCCTGGGCATGGGATGTAGCCAGCATGCCTCTCCAGAGGCACAGTTTCACTTGGGAAACTGTGTGCCAGGGCCAGGGTACCGCAGAGTGCGGGCAAGTCTGGCAGTCAAACGTTCTGGCAGACCTGTCATCTCCGCAGCATACGGCTCTCTGAACACTGAGTGAGGTTTGCTTGTGAGAGCAATAGGATGAAAGCTGGCTGGCAGAAGAGGCTGAAGAGCTTGGCTTAGTGCTGCTTACCCTTTCTGTGGGGCACAAGTGAATTGCATGTGTTTTTAAAAAGGAGGCGCTAGGGCCCCAGGTTGTGTTTTGTTTTTTTATTTGACCATGGTATGTGTTACGCACTAATTTCCTTTAAGACTTGTGATGAAGTCATAAACCACAGCCTACAGCAAGTGCTCTCCAGGCTGTTGCTTTCCGCTGTGACACGCATTTGACATGTCCGTTCCCAGGTTTGGCAGACCGGTCTCGCTCTGTCTCTTGCAACATGGACCAGAGGGAAATTCTGCTGCAAAACCTGGAAAGGGCCCAAAGCAAGAAGCTCAACCAAGAAGAATTTGTAGACGAATTTTTGGTAAGTTTGCTTAAGGCACAGTTCTGTGTCTCAGTTGATTTTAAAGGGAACCTCTCAAGTTACTTCTCCCCAAATGGGGACAAGATTGCATGTGACAGTAAGTTTTTTTTTTGTTTTTTTTTTTTAATAAATTTTAGAGCAGAATGAGATGCAGGAGTTGACTAGAGCAAAAAGAATGTAAAGACAGAAGAGCAACTTAATAGTTTGTATTCGAAGTAATACTGTTTTTTTATCCGAGTGCTTCCTGTTTCCTCCTTTGTGAATACACTTGTCAAGATATGGTTTCACTTTGTCCTGGTGATACAACTAGGGGTATAGTGGGGAGTATAATGCCACTGCCTATTCTCCCCATTGCAGTCTGTTGTATGATATATGTGTTTCTGTCAGGAATCTCTAGTTGCCACTTGAGATAGTGGTTTTTTTTTTTTTTTCATTTTGCTAGAAACGCCTCTCCCCCACCCCCCTGCAGAATAAGGAGCGGATATTCAGATAAATGCCTTGTGGTTCTGGACGGTTCTGTATCACCTTGATGTTTGGCACTTTGGCCAAGGCGTGAAGGAGACAGTAATCTGAACAGCCACACTGGCAGTTTCTCCAGGCTCCTGTGCTGTGCTGGTTTACGTGGAAATGCTCGTGCATCCATCTGGAATGAGTGCTGTAAAGTTTGTTAGTGTATCTGGCCCCCCTTAGAAACAAATTTCTTCTTCCTTAAAGGCACCAGCAGCAAAAATTGCTTATAGCTGTGGTCTTCACCTGTGCTCCACGGTGCCTAGCTGGCTGAGATCTGTGCAGTGCTCCAATCTATAAGCTCGCTCCCATCTTTGTATTTGTTTAGGTGGCAGGGATGAGACTTAGACTGCAATCCACAGTCTCACAGTTAGAGCCGATAGCTCTAGAAACTTGTGGGAAATGTATTTGGGATCTGGTGAGTGCTTTTGATGTTATCAGCTGGAGGAAGGCTATTTGGGCTGCTCAGAGGAGCAAAGGCATTGCTGAGATTTAGAAGATGTAGGGAAGAATAGAACCCCTCCAGAAACAGGTTGCATCCAGTAGACATCTCTGGGGAAAGTTCAGGGGTTATTTAGGAGTCCCCATGAGATCTAGACCCTGCTTTGTCCTGCTAGTGAAGATTTGCACTTCAAATGCCTGGGAAAAGTTTAGTGCTTGATTTCCAGGTGTCTGAGCCAGAGGGAAGTGATTAATCGGAGCCTGCAGTAACAGTCCTGTTGTTCCATGGAACAAAGCACTGTCACAGACTGCTGAATTTCCCCATGTTGCTGCCACACTGGGGTTGTACTGTGCAGTGGGAGGCTGCAGGGGTGTTGAGTCTGAGTGCATGTGCTAGTTCCAGCAGACAAATGTACAGCTAACTTTCTGGCAAAGATGGCAGGTAGAAGTGGTCAGGGCTGTATTTCCTCTTGTACTGGGAAGAGATTTTCCCAAAGACGGCCAGTGTTTCCTGCCGTTTTTGCAAGTGCCAGAACTTTAACAGACAGCTATTACAGCCCACATTTCCAAAGTTGGCAGAAACATGCAATCTTGTTTCTCCATCCTACCATCTCCCCTCTTTTTGTGTGAACAAGCATTTGTATGTGTACATTGTGGTGCTGCTGCTGTAAATGACAAGTGATTTTTTTGTTTAAGTCCCCATTTTCCGTGTGCAGTTTCACAGCGAGAGTTTGATCCTTGCTGCTCTCCCTTACTTTCTCACATGTAGCCATTTCCCAAGCTACTTTATGTCAAATTCTGCAGGGACAGAAAAGTAAGGTGATTCGGAGCCTTAGCTATGAGAAGGCTGGCTTCGGTGCTAAGTGATTCCAGCCCCCTTCCCTGAAAGCTTACCCTGGAAGTTGGAGTTGCATTGGAAGAAGGTAGGGGGAGGATGCAACCATACAGCAGAAGAGCTTGAGAGGTTACATGGATGTGTCGTCTGCGAAAACATCCTGCTGCTCACCTGCTCCCACGAGTTCTGTTGCACTGTGTGTGCCCCCAAATTCTTGATTAATGGAGACCGGACACGTGGACCGTGCTGTGCCTCCTGTACCCTCTCCCTGACTCATTCCATTCAGGTCAGTGAAATGCTGCTCTTGCAGTATTTTAGCTGGGGAGCAGCAGGATTTAGGGTTTGAAAAGCTGCAGTTTAATGTTAAAAAACAGCCACTCTGACTTTGATCTGAATCTGAATTTCCACGCACAGAAATACTGTGGATTAGATGTATCCTGCTGTATATACCGTTCATCTGCAGTAGTGCTGAGGGGTTGCTTGGCTTGATCAAACATAAATGAGCTGCAAAGCCCTCCATCTCAAAAGCCCTCCATTGCTGTGGCCTTTTGCCAATATCATCATTCTGTAATTTTATGCATATGAGCCCTGAAGGGTGTCATGTACCAGAGAGTGGTGGTCCAGAGCGGGCTGGAGTCAAGGGGAGTTTTGCCACTCTCCCATAGCTGCTAGTATGTCAGGCCTGCAGCACGTAAGGACAGAGGCCAGGATTCTCTAAACTTGGCAGGGAGTTTTGGGGAGTGCTGAAACACGGATGCTTATGAGCTCCAGCGGGAAGGTCATTGGTGCTGTCTGCAAACTGACCCTTGAAGCGATTCATGTTGAGCACTCAAAAATCAGGGCCCTGAGATGATGAGGCACTCGCAGAACACCAGCTTGCGCGCAGTCACGTTGGAGCTCACGGCCTCCACACCCTCGAACATGCTGGAAGTGGTTTGTCTGTACCAGCAGGAGGGAAATACCATCTCTTCCGCGCTAAATCCCTTTGACCACTAAGCTATTTTGGTCCAGTGACCCTGAGACCAGCAGACTCTGTTTTTCCTCTATCGTATGAGTGGCTGAGCTATTATTTCCACTTCCTGTTAGCAACCCCAGCTGCTAACGAGGAGCACAGGCAAGGTAAGAGAACCTGTGTCACCTCCTGGCGATTCAGGTGTGCTGGTGGTTCCTCCTCTTTGCTTTTCACTCCTGCACACATTCCTTTCATAAATGCGCACAATGCTGAGGGCTTTCCTTTTTCAGCCTGGTTCTCTGGACCCCAGCAATAATGTCCAACAGGTCTGAGAAGGCATGGCTTCGGGGTGGTGGAAAAGTGCGACTTGCTCTTCAGAGTGTCAAACCGCAGAGATGCTTATTAGAGAAATGGCTTTTTGTTTGAAATCAAAACCATTGCTTGGGAGCAAGAAAAACGGTTGGGTAGACAGTAATATTACAAAAGAAAAAATACAATGAGAATAAAATGGTACTTTTAAAGCTGATGATAATGAATAAGCAGTGTTTGTTTAAACAAACTGATGTCATTAAAATCAAATTCTAGGCTTCATCAGGAAAAATGCACCTGATCTGTCCAGGACTGCAGCATCTTTAGCCTGGAATTGAGAGAGACTAGAGATTCCTACTTCTACAGGTGTATCCCAGGGCTCCTTTTTCTCTCTCTTTCATCAGTGTATGTAACTACTTTGCTCTGATTTCTTGTGTGGCTGTAATTGCTTGACCGTTGCTATTTGCAGCTAGGAATGGGAGCATCTTTGCCAAAGTGAGAAAAATCAATTGCTTTATCTGTCTTTTCTGATGTCATTTGTTAGAGGTGTTTTAATATTGTTACTGCCTCTTGTCTGGGTGCCATTTGTACTGAGAGTGAGTCCCCTGTGTGTCACCTATTTGTGAGGGAGATGCTCTATGTTCTAGATAAAAAGGCATCATTTCACTTCAGAAGCCTACGTGCCTGGGCCTCTTTTGGCCACTGCCTCAGCAAACACTTTCCATTCTTCAGAAGTGTTTGCTGAGTTTCTCAGGTGGCTTCTGTGTCTCTATGCTTACTCTGAATGCCTTGAGAAAAGCCATTCAGGAAGGAATTAAAGGTACAGACCTTGCTTTGTGGTGGTGAGCCTGACCCTGAGAGATCTGCGCACATGCTCTCTAGTAGTATGTTGTATGTAGTACATTTGCTGTAATTTGTTCCGTTCTTTTATCACAGAAGCTGAAAAAGCAGTCAACAAAGTACAGATCGGATAAAATCTACCCTACAGCAGCATCTGAACAACCAGAGAACATCAAGAAGAACAGATACAAGGACATCTTACCCTGTAGGCTGGAAATAGCAAATGTTCCTATTCAGTCTTTCTTTTTTGCTAGCTCGATTCTGCTCTTCCTCCAGTATCTGCCTGCATGGTTGCTTGCATGTGAGCATGTCACTGCCTGTCAGTTGGCCTTGAATTCTGTTGCTCAGGTTTAAGGCTTCACCTTTGACTGCATCAGAGTATGCTCTGAAAGATTTTGGCACTTATTTTCTGGAGACTGGAAATTTCCTGTTCAGTAGGAAACACATCCTCTGTTGATTATCCTTGGAAGCTTTCTGGGTAACACGGCAACCACTTGTTTTGCAAGACCTTGTATAGAAGGGCTTTGGACAAAGGTACAAAGATGTCTTCATGATGTACAAATGCCATAGAGGAGGCTCTCTGCAGCCACGTGTTCTTACGGCATCTAGCACAAAGCAGGCCACAGGCAAAAACTGCTGTGGTTTGTCCTGGCTTGGTGCAGGAATCTCCAAAGGAAACTCTGCCCTGTGTGCCAAGCTATGGTCAGAGCAGACTGTCCTGTTGGTCCATTCTAGCTTGAAAAAAAAAAAAATCAAAATCCGCAGACCTTGTTGGATCCTGTAAGATTGAGTGCAGGGAGACTCTGGGCTTGGGTTGCTCCATGGTCAGAGGAGAACAGTGTGGCCCTGGGGTAGCAGCAGCAGCAGCAGCTGCAGCTCTTGCCTGTGCCTGTGCTACCGCTCGGTGGAGAGAGCATCCCCATCTGCTGCCCACACGTAGGCAATGGCAGGTCTGTGTGGGGCCCTCAGCAGCTGCAGGAGGAGGCATTAGGTATTTGCACAGCCATTCCTCGTCTGTTCTGGGGAAGAGCTCTCAGGCTATGGGCTCCTCCAAAGCACCTCATGCTGCAGCCTGAGGAGCCCCTATGCCCCTGGTGCTACTGTGGTAGAGAAGCAGTAATTGTTGGTGCTGTTTCTTCTTTCCTCTTTGTGCCTGCAGTTGACCATAGCAGAGTGGAGCTGTCCCTGATAACATCAGATGCAGATTCTCATTACATCAACGCCAACTTCATCAAGGTATTGCCTTTCATGGTATTTTGCGGCAGAAAGGTGTTTGTAGTAGCTGTCTGTTGCCTGGTTGAGTTGTGCCCTGTGGTTGTGCTAGGTTGAGAGGACCAGAAAGTAGTTCCTGTGTTGTGCACCAGGATAATTTAGAAGAGGGAGTATGTCAGGAATTGTGCCTTGATCTGGAGAATATGTGTGTATAATCAGTGAGCCTGTCAGAAATGCTTCTTGCAGTACAGAGGCACAAGCTATAGGGCAAGGGACGTGTGCTAATGTTTAGTGGAACAGTTTGTGGCTCACAGCCTTGACGTCCTCTTCAGTGTTACTGCCTCTGGTAGGTAACAGTGGTGCAAAATAGCCCACAGCTAGATTCGCCTGCCTGAAACCAGGGCTCAGGCAGGAAGCTTAGCAGCGCAGCAGTGCTGAGACCCACTCACTGCAGGGGCAGGGAACGGGGCAGGCCAGCACCAGCCAGCTCCCTAGGAGGAGCTCCTGGGCTCAGGACCCTTTTGTGAGGGTGCAGGTTTCCTTCCGTCTCTGCCATCGCAACTGAGGGCTTTGTGTGACCTGTCGGTAGAAGCACACACCTTCACGAAGGGATCGGGGATCTCTCTTCAGCCAGCAGTCACAGGCATGCCAGGCTGCACGCTGCAGGGTTGGATCAGCCGTTGGGATGTTTACCTCCAAGCTCCCACAAACGCACTGAAAGAAATGGTGGTCTTCAGGAACAGGCCTCACCTCGAACCCATCTTCCTGGCTTGGGTTCTGTCTTTGGGAAGTTTTCACACCATTGGCTTTGATTTCCAGTTCCTTAATTAATTTAATTTAGGCGTCTTAAAATTTAACTATAAAGAAGCCTTTCTAAGCTTCTAATGGGCTTTTGTCATTGGATAGAAATAGGATTCAGCAAGAGAGATGATATTAGTTATTTGCAGTGAACTATGCAAATGTATCTCTATATCTAATTTGAATGCAATTTTAGGGCGTCTATGGGCCAAGGGCATATATTGCAACCCAGGGTCCTCTCTCCACTACTGTCATTGACTTTTGGAGGATGATTTGGGAGTATGAAGTCCTGGTAAGGTGCAGATTTATGTCTTTTTTTTTTTTTAAATCATCTATAAAGCCACTCTGTGATGAACTGGATAGTGGGAGTGTCATCGTGGGAGTGCCCAAATGTTCCTTGTGCTCTGCATCTTTCCTGTGAGCCTTCATCACACACATGCTGAGGCTCACAAGTGCTGCTCATGGCTGCCTTTGCATGAGGGCCCTGAGTGCCCATGCTGTAGATGATGTCCAGAGTGTAATTTACCCAATGGTGTGAGTCTGTGAGCAAGACAGTCGAAGTAACTTCTTCATAGCTGATAAGTGCCCCCAGATGATGAGTGTGATTTTTTTCTGCCTGGATAAGAAACTTGTGTTCAGACTTTTCTAAAAAAACCTTTCTTTCTGTAGATTGTGGTCATGGCTTGTATGGAGTTTGAAATGGGAAAGGTGAGTAATGTATCAGAGACAGCCTCTGCTTGAACAGTGCCAGGGCAGGGAGGATGGACATGGGTTACTATAAAATTTCATTAAGGACATCAAGTTTCTGTTTGATGCAAACTATGCCTTGACTGCTGGAGTTGCCAGCTGCAGACTCTTAAGCCATCTCTAGGAGTGTAACTAGCCTCTTTGAAGGGAAAAAAAATAAGCAAGACCCAAACAGCCCTGCATCTTTCTTCCTCCCCTGCCTTGCCCTCCCCTCCTCTCCCACAATACCCCTTTGTGTAGCTGCACACAGAGCTGTGGTTTTGGTGGCCAAGAATGAGCACAGATAATTTACAAATGAAATTGTCACAGGTCTAATTCCTGTCCTGATGACTCCAGGCAAGGGGGAGACTAGAGGCTGGTCAGCAGCAGAAAGTGGGCCTCTTAGCATGAGTTTCACCAGGCAGGGTAAGACAGGAGATAGTGCAGGCAGGCAAGTGGTGAATAACCACAGACTTCCTGCTTCTTGCAACAGAAAAAATGTGAGCGGTACTGGGCAGAGGTGGGTGACTCTTCCCTGCAGCGTGGTCCTTTCTCCATTGCCTGTGTGAGTATATCTGCCTCTTAATGCCCTATCACATCATGTGCGTTGGAAACTAATGTCATCTGAAGCAAATCTGACTCTTAACTTATTGTTCTGCAGGAAGCTGAAGACAAGAAGAATGAGTATGTGATTAGGACTTTAAAGGTGACCCTGAATGAAGTAAGTAGGAAAGGTCAAATCAGGAAATGCAGCTTGGCTAGCTTTATTATATAAATAATATATTAAAATATGGGGCACTTTGTGCAGAAAACTTTATGCCCCTCATTATGCTATTTCGGATTTCATAGTAGTTGCAGTAATGGCGTAGAAAAGTAATTAAATCTTAAACCTTAATTTCTGAAGCTGTTTGTCAGACCCTGGATCAGTGAGGCAGTTAGCAGGTAACATCAGGCATGTCATAAAATGACAAGGTCTCCAAGAACAGTCACAAAATGCACTTCTAACCTTCATTCTTTGTCTACCAATATAGAAGGGAATTTGAGGTGGCTGCAGCATATCAGCTTTCACTTGCTGTTTTGATTTCTGAAGTCTGTGCCCGCATAAGCATTGAGGCAGAATCTTCTTTTGTGGCACAGGGCAGTCCCTTGCCAGTGTTCCTCTTCTTTTATAGGAAATCCGCACCGTCTATCAGTTCCACTATAAAAACTGGCCAGACCATGATGTTCCCTCTTCCATTGATCCCATTTTGGAACTCATCTGTGAGATTCGTTGCTACCAGCCAGATGACAATGTTCCTCTCTGCATCCACTGCAGGTGAGTGTTTCATGCACCGACAAGGAAAGCTCTGCTGGTTCCACCCTAGTTTCTCTCTCACTTGCTTTATGAGAGTCCGTACAGGTGGATGTCTGGGTTCCTTTGTCATACAACTGTTTTTTTACAAGACTTGAGCCAAGTCCCTGTCTTAGAAAGTTCTAAGGATGAAAATGCCCTAGTGAGCAACTAGTACAGCTGGATATCAGGAAGAGAGACAAATAATGACAGGCTAGGGATAATATATATAGTTGAGAGACCAAGAATACTGTGCATTTCCATGTGTAGGTTGGTCACCACAGGAGGACTGAAGAGTTGTTCATAAGACTGTGAGATGGGCTTTCTTCCTTGCAGCAGAGCTGTCCTCAGGTGGAGGACAAGGGTACAGTCTTATGTGAGACTGAGTAAAGCTGTCACCGGGAGTAGAAGTATCGGTCTGCATTGTTCGCAGTGTGGGATGGAGGTTCTACTCTGCTGCAGACTGTGTGGTGGGACCAGGAGCTAGCGTCCTTATGGAGATGTGCATGTGAATGTAAGCCAGCTGCCCTTGTGAAATTCGTAACAGTGGGTTGAAGGTTAGGGTTCACAGGGGGCAGTGGATATTTTCAAAATGACCATTGCTAACAACCCCACTGTGATGTTCATTGCAGTGCTGGCTGTGGGAGAACAGGAGTCATCTGTGCTATTGACTACACCCGGAAGCTGCTGAAGGACGGAGTAAGCGTCAGTCTTTTCTTGTGCATTCAAATGGCACTTATATGTAGCTCCTGTGCATCTCTGTCTCTCCCTCTCTCTCTTTCTTTCTCTCTTTATTCCCAGTTTTACCTCTCTTTGACTGCATTCAGAGATACTTCATATAATAACTGTAAATAAGAACTCCCTGTAATCTGACTGAGGAACAATGGCCAAACTGGCAATACTTGATATCCACTTTGTGCTTTTTCTTTCTGTTTAGGCTCTTCATCATGCGCACAGTGTCCATTGTCACTACCTTCCTTCCACACCCTGATGTGAATAGCTCCCAATACTGTGAAGTGGTCTGAGGTGTACAGATAGAGTAGAAAGCTCTCTCCTGTTACTCCTTTGTAGCCTGATCTTCAGATCACAGGGCTTGGCTCTGCTTTGGCCTTCAGTCTTCAGTACAAGTTTACTGCATGTATTTGACCCTCAGCGCTCTGGTAGCAGAAATCCGGGGTTTCCAAATTAACATCTTGTTTTACTTTGACTCTTCAGTAAAAAAAATATCTTTTAACAGTGAAGTAATCCCTGTCCTTGTGCCAGATTTCTGGGATTCTGAGGAGTGTCTATTTTCTATATTGTAGTAACCTTGAATCCATTGGTCTAGATGGAGCAGGATGCTATGAAATCAGTATCTCGTCCTTTGTCCTTTTTGTCACAGCTGTTATCAATGTTATCAATGCTGTTATCAAAGAAGGATATTTTCTGTGGCCTGCAAGACAGGAGGGAGGAGGTAAAATGGCTCATAATCAAAGCTGGCACTTTAAGGAGGTCCTTTGTTTAAAGTTCTTGCAGTAACAGGCCTGATTTTCTGACCCTGGTCTAAACTGCATCATGACTTGGAAGCTGCTTGGAATTAGATCTATCTTTAATTTTTTATCTTTTCTCTTTCTTGCAAGATTGTTCCAGTGAACTTCAGTATTTTTAGTCTGATCCAGGAAATGCGCACACAAAGGCCTTCAATTGTGCAAACCAAGGTACATGCAGGAAATTTTCTCAACTGGTATACTCTCAATACTGAAACCTCAACTTCTCTCTAGGAGAGTTTGCAAGAATGAAACATAAAATTGTTGCAGTGCTGAGAATTTGGATTTGTTAATGTTCTTACAGGTTCCTTTTCTGAACAGAAGAATGATTTAGCAGAAATGAATTTGGTAGCTGACCGTTTCCTTGTAGACAGCTGGAATAGCTTAGTGTTTTCAGTTGCATATATTGAATACTTACATTGTGAAAAAAGCAACTGTCCAAGAAATAAAGTGGGAACTGTTCTCAATTGAGACAGACTGAAGAGGAAACGCAGTGAAAAACAGTGTTGTTTGTGCTGCCAACACCAAAACAAATGCTTCAGCCTCAACACTTTGAAAGTTGTGGCTTCTGTCTCTTCTGAGAGTTTGTCCTGCCCACAGACTGGAAAGTGGCAGCTCTTCTTAGGAGCTGATGTTGTTTGATTTGGGTAACTGATGACCATTTACAAGTACTGCTTGTGCTGGCTCTCATGTCTGTTTTATTTGTCTGGAATGCAGGAGCAGTATGAGCTGGTTTATGATGCTGTGATTGAACTCCTGAAAAGGCAGATTAAAGCACTTGATGCCCAAGAAGATTCTGCTGCTTCACAGGTAAAAGTCCCCAAAGTGTAAACACTGCCTTTTGCACTCTCAGGCATGCCAGCTCTCACCTAGATTCCTCCTGCAAAGCTCTCCTCTGCAGATCTGGAATCAAGGACCTTGTCTTCTACCCTATATGTCCTATTTATTCATAATTACATTGTGACAGAGGCCTCCAGTCTGTGGAGGTCCTTTATGTGATCCCAGTTTCTCACCTGTTACTTCATTTCCCTGCAAGGAAAAGAGGTTAAAAAGACAGAGGGAGAGACAGGGTTCCAGCCCAAACTGAGCTTCTTTTCATGGCTTAACTTGAAAATCCAGCTGTTTCCTTGACTGTGCGCTGCTTATCACAGGAGTTGGCCCCAAGGGAGAGCTAAATTTTCTTCTGTCTCAGAACTATTTCCTGTATAGTTTTATATTTGTTTGATGTAATGAGTGAATAGAAAAGCATCAACTTTCTCCAGTAGTGGCTGATTTTCATGTGGACATCCCAGCGAAAATTGGTTTCATGGAGTGTTTGCAAGCAAGAGTGAGTCTCAGTCTAGTTCAGGAAGCTTGAGTGCGCGCGGCAGAGTGTCAGACTGCAACATGGGGAATTTGGATTGTGGTATTCTAGCGAGATAATGCCAAATCCTTTCAAATTTGATATACCTCTGAGAAGAGTGAAGGATTATTGGCATGAATTTGCACAAGCAGGAAAATCAACACATCCATGGTTAGGCTCTTCTTTGTTGTTGCCTTTCTTCTCCGATTGTTGGCATGAATCTTACCTTGCTTGTGTACTTGTTTGCAATCTTGCTGAAGTAAATGCATTGCCGTTCTTAGGCAAAGGCTGAAAAGTTAGTTAGCTTATTTTGTCAGAACCTTTTGTCTAAAGAGTTGGGAACAGAATCCTGCAATGGGACATGCACCTCAGTCTTGCCATGGTATTCACATGGTATTCATTCCAAGCCAGAGCTGGGAGACAAAATAGCTGGCAACAGCCTTTTTCTCATGTGCCGTGGATGGTCTGTAAGCAAAGGAGATAGGAGAGTAGGTTGACATAAATACAGAAAACAGTTGAAGTCCGGATGTGGTTCTGTAGGTCCTGATGAAACCTCTTGCCTGTGGAAACCTCACTGCCCTTTGAAAGCACTTTGTAGAGCATGGGGGATGGTCATGTGCAGAAGTGTCATAAATGAAACCAGCTCCTGCATAGCCAGGCTGAATGCCTGTGTGGAGGTGTAAAGGCAGAGTTGTCTGCTCAGGCTCTTTTACAGGTGTTTGGAACAGCTGGATTGTTGTATGGCCCTTTGTACTGTCCTTTTAAAAAGGTGCTGACAGGAAGACCTGTTGAGGAGGATCTGTCTTCAGTTTTCAGCTCCAACTTGGTGTTTGTCATTTCCAAACTGCATTAATAATTAAAAGTAGCTGGCACAAATTTAATCTCCTGAAATAGCGTGTTTGTGTTCTGTGCATTCTTCTTCTTCACTCTCTTGTATTCTAACCTTTTCTTTCACTAGATTCAAACCAAGTATCCTGTAGCCAAGCCACTTCTGACTTCAGTGAGAGAAATTTATTCTCTGAAATTACCAAACTGGTAAGGCCATTGCACAAGTATCATGTAGGTTAGTATTTCCAATTATACATATAATTCGAGGAGGATGCACTTATGTACTCTGCTGTAGGTGTGTGCATTATATGTGAGACAGCTCAGTTCAAATCTTGCACTTAAGTTTTTGTCAACAGGATCTGCAAACTCCTTTGAGTCCCACTTGGATTCTCAGACTTGTTCCTAACATAATTCCTACATCTGTTATTGATATGGCTCTGAGAATGAGTCTCAGCCTCTCCTCTTCATTCCATTGTCTTTCTTCCCCTTCTTCCCTGGGTCTGCTTTATATTGTCCTCGCACAAATTGTTTCGCATATAAACTGAAAACACTTCATAGGGCAGTATTAAAAAAAAAAAAAAAAAAAAGGCTCATGCACTTGGAGATAGCTCAGTGCATTCATTTCTGTCTTCTGTGTGAAACTGTGCACGCCGTAGGGTGCCCCGAGATTGTTTCATCTTTCATTTGCATATGCCACTCAGGTGCTTGTTACCATAAGAACTGAGTGCCTGAAGAGCCCAGTTTCCAGACAAGGGCGCCTTCACAGATGGGTATGATCCTTCTGTAGATGTGTTTTGGTTTGCATGTGTCCACTTTCTGTAACTAGTTTTGCTTTTTGGTATAGTCTGCACTGAGATAGTGCAGAAACTGCACATAGTTTATCTATGGAAAGAGGCCTCCTCCGCTCACCATTTAACGGTGTTCAGATAGGGCATCAGGCTGCATAGTCCTTCCGTGTGCTCATTGCTTAAGGCCAATCTGAGCTCTGAGTTCCTGGAGAAGGGATCTGCTCCTAGGAGTAATGTTGTGGGGCCTTATTAATAGGCAAAAACAGATTTCTAAGTACTAGATGGCTTTGACTTCATGCTACTGTGCTTTATTGCAGCTCAGGGCAAGAGGAGCAGGACATACATCAACATTATCCTCCTGTGGTGCAAAGTGAAGCATCCCTGACATCGTTGTCTGCCACAGGAGTACTTGACAGCTCTGGGCATGGAGTCCCTGCCATTAGACAGGCCGTTTCCTTTGGGACTTTGAACTGCAGCAACAGTGGGAAGGCAGTTACTGCTGAAAAGTGGGGCACAGGGGAAGCTCTCCAGAAACACCATAGTTTGGAGTTCAACAGCGTCTCTTCTGAGCAGCTGCTTCTCAACTTGAAACCTAAGGGAGTAGGCAGGAGATGGCCTCATGACAAAGCACCTCTGACACGGACTAAATCAACCCCTTTTGTGCTGGTGCAGCAGAGAGAAGCCCAGGAATGGGATGGAGGGGATGTAAAGCCTCTTTTGAGTTCACAGTTGCCAAATGCCTGTTGTCCAAGTTCTCAGGTAAAGAAGCAGGCTGGTTTTTCCTCTTTTGAGCCGAACCACTCAAGCAGAGCAGTGGACTGCCCCCCAAGACACAGGAACAGTAGGCAATGTCCTCACCCTCACCTTTGTTCAGCAGAAGACCCTTACTTCTCATCACTCTCTTCAGATGATCCCGCATCCCCAGTGTTTACTGAGTGCTTTGCAGAGGGACATGATGCAATTTTCCCTTCTTGTACTGTGACTGCCCCAGTGCAGCCTGCCTTGACCAGTTCATCACCCAGGCCTGTGTCCCAGCATGCTCCCCTGTTGAACGATGAGAGGATATCCTCACTCAGTAAGTGGTGCAGCGCTGTCACAAGCTGGACTTGTTCACTCTGGATTTCACTATGCTGGAGGGAGTGCAGAGTGCTGCCTTTTAACATCCACGAAGGGCTGTAGCTGATCTTTCAGGGTATTGCACTCTTGATAGCTGCCGAACAACTCAAACAGGTTTCAGTTCCAGTGGGAACTGAGGGAAGAACAGGGCCTCACATTGTTTCATCCTGCCTTAATTTTTTCCATAAAAATAAACAACATCTTTAGAACAGCATGAATTTGGGTTTCACTTCATGTAGGTACTCTGGACTCCCATGTCACCTTAGCTAATAAGTTGTACAGCTGTCATAGGAAGACAAGGATTGGTGCTGATCAGTTCTTAAAACGGGGTGCTGCGAGAAACATTCAGAAAGCTCCCAGGAATGGGTTTTGCTCAGGATCTAGTTTCCAGGTCAATAAAAATTCCTTTGTGCTTTCTGAAGAGAGTCCTACATGGGAAATCTGGCATCCCACTGAGACAGAGAGAACCAGGGGTTCAACTTTAGTGTCTTGCCTAGATCTATAGCCTTAACATTATCTCCTGCCCTATAAAGAAGGTAAGAATTCCTTTTCTGGTCAGACCTGACCAGAACATTTCCATTTGTCTGCAGCTTTGGCACTGCTGAGCTTTGTCCTGTTCAGACTCTTCTGGATTCAGTGTAGCAAGTGCTCTCTGGTTATCTAAATGCTAGACACTTTTAGAAAGTCATGGGAGTTGAAGTAAAAGCCAAGTTGCAGTAGCACTACTAACTGTAAGATCCTGTGGGGGGGGTGGGGGTGCTTGCTTTTAATTTTCTCTGCTGCAGTGGGAATTCTGTTTTTAACACTGCTGGAAACGTGCCCTTGGGAGCACTCTAACAGCAAGTGAATTGGTGCTGAGAACTGTTTAGATTTTTAAGTAGAGTTTTAGATGTGTTTAATCTCTGATGGCTGGTTGGGTAGCAGCAGTCAGGCCTCAGAATCTCTGCAGAGGTCTGTAGCTCTCCAGCCATGTGGTGCCATGCAGGTAATCTGTCCATGTCTCCTCAATTAGCCCTCTTGCCACAGCCAGACGAAGATGATCCTCCGCCCCTGCCTGAGCGAACCCCAGAGTCCTTTATTGTGGCCAGTGAATCAGGTAAGTGCATTTAACACAGTGACTGAGATGTGTTCTGAGGACCCTCCTCATGCTTGTATAATACTGTAGCATCCAGCAGTGCCTTACTCTGGCTTCCTAGGGTGAGAAATGATGTCTCTTGTGTTTCATTATTTCTAGGTGAATTCCCTCTGGCAGCTTCTGATTTTCAGCCCCCAGCCAGAAATAAAAACATTGGAACCTCTCTGGAGTGGAATGGTGTGTCTCATCCAGAGGTTTTTAATGACCCAGTGAGACTGAGACCATGTAAGGTAAATAAGTGGCTTTTTATCTCTTCTCCAGCACTATCGCTATGCCAATTTTCTTGTTTCCTGTTTTTGTGAGAAAGACTCTAGTTTGGACAAAGTGTACTTTCCATAAATTATTTCAGGATTCAGGATAGGAGTAAAGAAACAGTCTCAGTCAGGTTCCTCCTTATCAATATCTAGTTCATTCCAAACATTAATTTATTGTCCAAAATCCCACACAAGATAGGAAAAATATTGTCCCTATTTTAAAGAAGGATAACTAAGACAGGTTAGTGTCCTTTTGAGGTTCAGATCATCCTGTGGAACAGAGAGGAACTGAGCAAAACTTAGGTTAGTGCCACATCCAAAAGAACATCTTTTGATCATCTCATAGATGAATTATGGCTTTGCAAAGTGAAACAATAAGGCGTAAGCCTATCTTCCATTACCGGAGCATGGGGGTGTGTGTGGGAAGGTGTTTGCATGTAGCATCATTTCTTCTTCTCTGGCTTGCTTGAATGTAAGAGAGTCACATTTAGCTGTAGGAATTTCAAATACCTTCCTTGTTTTTCATTTCCAGAGTGTGAAGCTGCGGAGCTGCCAATCAGGTATAAGTTTAATGTTGAGATAACT